TTTCAGAGTTAGCGAGTACTTTCGACTATAAGTCTTTATCAAGCTATATATATATATATATATATATATGCTCATTAAACAAATAATGAATTATATATCTATCTCTCACTTTCCACTGGCTCCACTCTGTTATCATAAATGGGCAAATCACAGGGGTACTGTATTATAAAAATTATATTGTTGACAAGGCTTTATGGTTTGTGAGCCAAATTTACGTATGTGAGCCAAATTTACGTATTTAGGCATAATAATTAAATTTTTATAACGTAAGTTGCAGTGAAGATCTATCAGCCTTTGATGCAGAAAGCAAAGAATGGGATATCGTGCTCGATCGCTGACCGTTAAAACTACATGGCACAGTACAGACGAACGATGCATTACACGTGAAAGACCCACTTAAAGTAAGAGTAATCCGGATACGTTCTTGTTGACACTATTTGATATTTGATTTGACTTAGCACAACGCGCAGGTGAAACCGAATGAAACAGTGAATTGTTACCGAAATCATCGATCATTGTGTTGCAGATCGAAATTTAAGAATGTCTAATTTTAATGACAGGTCTAACAATCAAAACCTACACAAGCAATTCATCATCTCTCTTTCTTTAGCTCACAGTTATACTCCTCAACAAATGTACATCCACACACACAAAAAACTACAATGATTACGTCAACATTGAGTTCTTCCAAACGCGATGACGTCATAGTGTAATGCCACGTGTTGTGGTAACGCTCTTTTTCTGTTGATATTGATTAAGATACCTTGTGGGAAAATACTTTAATTTCTGACGAATAAACGCCGCGGGTTGAGTTGCTACTGATATCTGTTCTGTTTTTAACATACGACATTACTTCAAATGACTACACAAATGTCACATCTCATATTTTATTATATCGTTATCGAATATTGACACATTTTAATTAATGGGTGTCCTTTTTAATATCTAAAAAATATAAAGTGTCACCTAATATAAACAGTTAGGTTAAAGATACAACTAATTTTAAAGTTGATCTTTAATCAGGCATTCAAGCTGATTTGATACCGTGATTAAAATTTATATATTAAATACAATATTATTATTTTTTTAATCAAGGTTTAATTTGATTTAATACCTTGATTCTAATTTAAATATAAAAATACAATATTATAAATTTATTTTTAAAAAAAAGCGAACAGGTCAATTGTTTCTGAATAATATACTCTATAACTGTATATCGAATCATTCTTTAATATAAACAATAAAAATAATATTAATTAATATTAATAATATTAGTATTACTTATCAATTAATATTAGATTACAATGGGTATAATATGTCACACTTATAACAATACCGAGTCTGACGTGTTTCTGAGGCAAAACAAGGTATCTGTGAATATCGCTACCTTTGCAATAAACAAACGGTTGTAATTAAAATGTTATAGAAATATACAATCATGCAAAATTTCAAAAGCTTACGACAATTCATTGCTAAGTTGCAAATATGCAAACGTTAACTCTAATTTTCTCCAAAAGTGAAAATTTCAAGTTACGTGGTTTTGCCGCGATATTACTCCTGACCATCTAACTATTATAACAATCCTGACACACGTTTAATCCATTGACTTTGGTATTTAAATTTCTAAATATATGATCATAATGGTGACATAATGTAGCCAAATGTGGACATATTATATTTACTTGTCACATACAATTTATTAGTGTGGACAGAGGTTTTAAATTGAGCCAATGTGAACACAGCTTTAGTAACAAGGTGTATGGATCCAGGAGTCGCAGAATATCTAGCAATGAATGGACTAGAAGTTTATTTCACTAAATAATGACGCGGTTGGCTCAAAGTTATTTATGACGTAAATAATTCATGATACAGCTATTTCTCAATAGCTAATTATTTTGAAACGCTGGTTTAAATGACGGGTGTCTGTTGTGGTCTTTAATAGAAATTATGTCGTAGAAAATTGATTATAAAGTAATATTAATGTAGGGCTAATACGGCTATTTTTATGCTTCAATGGAATACTAATTCGAATGCGTGGAAATGAAGAGAAATACGTTCAGCCTCCAATCTAGTTAGGCCTAATTAAAATAATAATTACTATACTAATCTTTATTTTCATCGGATCTAATTGGATATTTGCGAGTATTTGGAGAATCGTAATTGGAATTATATATTTACCTTGAAATACCGTACCGGTAACGGAATTGGCAGGCCTATTATGCTGGTGTATTTCGTGCATTATATAAAAAAAGACTCTTTGAAGAATATTGGGTCTATTTTTACACCAAAAATGAGACGTATTTCGTGAGAGTCATCTCTCAAAAGATATGATAAAATTGTATGTTTTTATGTTCTATTCAACCATCATGCATTGATCCATTTTGCTAAGCATCCGGTGTTTGTTGATATGTAACACGATGAGTCAGACGGGTATCTTTAAAACAACAAGTGCTTAAAATGTATATCAATTGTAGACTATCCAACTAATAACACCAGACAACCCATCTTTAAAAACGTTTCTTATATTAACCATCTCCCGTTTAATTTCTGTTTACTGTCGTTCATACCTGAGTACATCGTAATACCAATTACCAGAATGTATATAACAGCTACCTGTCAGAAATTTAAAGTGGAATCTTTCATGAATTGTTTTATTGTATACTGGTCGAATTTCACTACTTGGAGTAGTGCAGAAAATTACAGTTTTCTAGAATTCTGTTATTCATTGGCGTTATTTACAGTGTAAAAATTGATTCGAAATATTTTATGAAATCAATATATTCATTTTAACATGTAAAACTAGCCATCAGCAGCAGTAGTATTAATGTAGTATGGTGGTTTTTGTGGTAGTAGTGGTATAGTATGTAAAAATAGTATTAGTATTATTATTAGTAGTAGCATAAACAGTAGTAAGGTCGAACTCTCAGACTTAAAAACATAGTTTTCTGCTAATCAGTGGCGGCCCTACCCGGGGCGGAGGGTGGTAGGCAGGACTACAGCCCCCGCCCCCCG